CACATGCCATGTTGACGATTTTTTTTTACAGTAAACTAAACTGAAAATCTGTATTCTAAATCTATTAAAATGAAGATCATATACTATTCTGAGAGCATAATAACACTTAATGAACAATTAGTAATATTTAATAGTTTTGCAGCTGATCTGAAAATCTGGAATTTTCAATATTAAATTTTATAATTATTTTTAGTTTTCTTGTTTTTCAAGTTACGTTGCTGATCACTTAGACAAAGTTGGAGTGTTCGCGTAGTAGATTATGCACAAAAAATTGGAAAGCGTTATAACCAGTTTGAAAAATTTAACTTATGGTGCCATCGGGACTTGTCGTATACATACGCCATGCGCAATTTAAGGGTTAAGGCAAGAAGGTGGATGGTTAGAGAAATTTAGAAAAGAAGTGGTATTCAGTGTTATGAGGCATGGGGAGGCTGCCAGCTCAGACAAACCAGCGACTGAAAAATTTATTGTCGAATTTAAAGATTTTGTAGAGAGTGAGGGATACCTATCGCAACAAGTGTTTAATTGTGATGAGACAGGACTGTTCTAGAAAAGATTGCCTAAGAGGACATACATTACTCAGGAGGAGAAGTCATTGTCCGGACACAAGCCTATGAAAGATAGGTTTACGCTTGTGCCGTGTGGTAAGGCGAGGGACAATTTGAAAATTAAACCCTTGCTTGTTTATCATTCTGAAAATCCAAAGGTTTTAAAAAAATATAATGTGCAGAAAAGCCAAATGTATGTGATGTGGAGGGGTAATAATAAGGCATGGGTGACTAGGCAATTTTTTACGGAGTGGGTTATTACCTAAGTGTAGTTACAGGATGAGAGCTACGCTCGTGGTGTCCCGTCTTCCCAGCACTCTTTGTCATATAACGCTTTGAAACTACTGACGGTCTTGGCCTCCACCACCTTCTCACCTAACTTGTTCCAACCGTCTACCACTCTGAGTGGGTGGGTGAATGAGGTGGTGTGCCCCACTATCAAAAAATATCTGCAGGAGAAAAGTTTGCCACTCAAGGCCCTGCTTCTCCTCAAGAATGCTCTTGCTCATCCTCCAGGCTTGGAAGATGCATTGTTGGACAAATTTAATTTTGTTACAATAAAGTTCCTTCCTCCTAACACCACTCCTCTAATTCAGCCTATGGACCAGAAAATCTTTGCCAATTTTAAGAAACTTTATGAAAGGGCACTTTTCCGGAAATGTTTCAAAGTGACTGATGCCACAAACCTCACCCTCAAAGAGTTCTGGAAAAACTATTTTAACATTTGTAGTGCTTTAAAACTCGTTGACAAAGCCTGGCAAGAAGGCTTTGTCAACGTCAACGGGGCTTGGATTTAACACCATCCACACCTGGGGCTTTTGCGTCTTTTAGTTTGTCAACACCGGGTTCAAAGAACCCTGATCTCTGTCTGGAGAAAATTGTGGCCTGAATGTGTTTCAGAGCTAGACTTTGAGGGGTTTGAGCCTGGACCTGAAGGGGCCTATTGTTGAGGAAATTGTTACCCTGGGTCAGAAATTGGGCTTGGAGTTGGATGGTGATGATGTGGAGGAGTTGGTGGAGGAACACAGCAAAGAACTGACCACCGAAGAACTCCAAGCCCTTCACAATGAGCAGCAACAAGAGGCAGCTGAGGATATGTCTTCAGGGGAGGAGGAGGAGGCAATAGAGAATGTTCCTCAACAATTAAAAAGTGGTGTAGACTGTGGGAAGAAATGCAAACTTTTGTTGAAACGACTTGCCCAGAGCAAGCTGTAGTAGGATGTTGCATTAACCTTTTCAATGACACTGTGATGCCTCACTACAGACAAGTGTTACAATGAAGGGAAAAACAATCTTCAATGGATCGATTCTTAGTGAGAAAATCAGGCAGTGAGCCACAAGCAGGTCCTAGTGGTATGCAGGCAAAACATGGCAGAGAGTGTACCCCAGAAAAGTCCTCACTGCCTGATGTTATAATGGAAGTGGACTCCCCTTCCAAACATTAACACCTCTCCTCCTCCCTCCTCTTCGCCGTCTTCCATACGCCAACAAGAGTCATCAGTAAAGGTAAGTAATAACTTGTACATACTTGTACTACTACATAGTACTGAAGATTTGGGTGAATTAGGTATAAAATTTACTTTGAAGTTAATTTTTGTGGGAGTCTGGAATGAATTAATCCCATTTCCATTATTTCTTATGGGGGGAAATTCGCTTCAGTTTACGAATATTTGGTTTATGAGCCATCTCTGGGAATGGATTAAATTCGTAAGCTGAGGTACCACTGTATATGACAAACAGGATTGGTCCCAAAAGAACCCCTGTGGGACCCCACTTAGCACATTTCCCCAGTTAGATTCATTCCCATTTAGCACGACCCTTTATTTTCTATGTACTGTATTAACCATCTTGAGGTATTCTTGAGATGATTTTGGGGCTTAGCATCCCCGTGGCCCAGACCTCGACCAGGCCTCCTTTTTTGTTACACATCCCCAGGAAGCAGCCTGTAGTAGCTGTCTTAACTCCCAGGTACCTATTTACTGCTAGGTAACAGGAGCATCAGGGTGAAAGAAACTCTGCCCATTTGTTTCCGCCTCCACCGGGGATCGAGCCTGGAACCTTAGGACTATGAATCCCAAGAGCTGTCCACTCAGCCGTCAAGCCCCTCGTTTTATCATATTTTTTTTTTTTTTTTTTTTTTTAGACCATTATTTTATCCATTCCAGTATTCTCTCATGTATTCCATGTGCCTGTAATTTCCTTGCCAGTCTCTCATGTGGTACCTTGTCAAAAGCTTTAGCAAAGTCCATGTAAGCTACAGCTACCGGAAGTCCTTTGTCTGAATAGCAGGTTGCTGTTCCCAGAAATGTGAGCAGGTTAGTGAGGCAGGATCTATTTTAAACTAACCCATGTTGGGTTGATTTTATCAGATTGTTCTCTGTGAGATGTTGGATGATTCCCTCCCTTAGGATTCTCTCCATGAGCTTGCAGATGTGTGATGTCAAGCTGATCAGACGATAATTGTCTGCCAAGCTCTTTCTGCCTTTTTTGAAAATGTGCATAACATTTGCATATTTCCAATCCAGAGGGACTATTCCTTAGTCCAGGGATTTTCTGAAAAGCAGTTTCAGTGGTAAGCGTAGTGCATTTGCCAGGTCCTTTACGACTTTGGATTTAACTCCATCCACACCTGGTGCTTTTGAGTCTTTTAGTTTGTCAATGGTGTTCATGATTGTGTCGCATGTTATGGGTATATCCCTTAATTCATTCTCTTCATCTTCAAACATTTGTGTGGGTGATGGGATGTCGTTCAATCTTTCTAGTGTGAACACTGATGTAAAGAATTCATTTAAAGTTTTTGCTGCCCTTTTATCATTCAATATAACTTGGTTACTCTCATCTTTTAGGGATCCTACAGAGTCCTTTTTTTGGTTTTACTTCCTATATATTCATTGAATAATTTTGGATTTTCCCTTATGTTTTGGGCAAGTTTTCTTTTGTAGTTTCTTTTGGCTAATCTGATTTCCTGGGTGACTGAATTTAATGCCTTTTTATATATCTCATAATCCTCGATGTTCATTGTTGATTTATACGGTTTCCAGAGGTTCTGTGTAGTTATTAGCGCTCTTTTTTTACTACTTGTGTCATCCATCTTGTTCCCCTTTCTTTTCATTCTTCTTTTTGAAACATATCTTTGAACGAGTTCATTAATGACCTTTTTCAATTTTCCCCCGTGATGTTTCCCTGCCGTGATCACCTATCAGCGCCCTCTAGGTGGTGTTTTGCAATTCCTTTCTCATTCCCTAATAGTTTCTCGATGGTAATCTAGGTCATCATCCTGGACCTTTTCGAGTTTCTGTAATTGCATTCCATCTTAGAATATTGTGATCACATGATTGAGTGAGTTTTTTCCCTACTTGAAATGATCGATCATACCCTCTCCTGATGTTAGCACAAGGTCCAGAATGCTGTTTCCTTAAGTGGGCTCTACCACATGTATCAGAAATGAGTCCTGCACCAGGTCTAGAAATTGATGCCTGCTATGATGCTAGATTTACCCATTCTATTGTCTTGTGGTTAAAATCAGCTACCATAAGAGTTTGGGTTTGTGATGCCGCAATGATCACATTATGCAGATCAGTAACTACTACTGCTGTTGCTGTGTCAGCCCTGTAGCACACTCCCACTGTCCTCTGTGAATCGGATACCTCTGATATTGTTCGCCTTATGCGCTATCATTCTCATATTGGCAACCTTAGTGATATTTAGTGCCTTTTGAATATCTTGCACTTTTGATGGTGCTACAGTCTTCTTGGCTTGGTGCCTTTTTATAATGACTTTTTCACTGCAAATGACGAGTCACAATAACGTTGCTGAACAATGTTGACCAAACTACAGAAGAGGATCAAAAGACTACAACTTTACAATTTTACTGTGTTACAGTGGAACCCTTGTCTAACTGGATAGAGTAATTCAGCAGCGTTGCACTAAACATGACTACCAGTAGCTGCATCTCCTGGGCACACTATTCGCAGAATGAAGGCGAAACTGGATATTTGTCTCATCCGAAAAAAAAAAGCCAAAACTTACAAGTTCCCCACCTTTTGCCTTCAATCAGGAGCACCATGAGCCTTACTAACACCTAGCCATATCAAGAAACCAGCAGTACAAATATTTTAATTTCAAAAGAGGCAGGCTTCCAATTAGTAGTGGCAAGTGGTTGGATCACGGGCAAAAGGTCCTGGGCTCGGTTGTCAAGGCAGGACAACCACTTGGGCAAAGTTGCCTTCCAACTGATGCCTCAAATGTTCCACTAGTAGTGACTAGCCTGGGAGTTAAGACATTTGTTATGGGACGCAGTTTGGGATTAGTCGGCAGAAGGCTGTTAGGCTTCCTGTCCCCAAGTATGAGAAACCATAATGGTGAATCATTGATGTCCCTAAATTGGATACATAGTATCTTAATTATACTACAAAATAATCAAAACTAATTATAGGCCAATGAAGTAAGCGATTCAATTATTTTAACATTTATTTCACAATTTCCTATTTAGTTACAATCAACTTATGAAAAAAAAAAATTGCCATTCATGCAACTTTACCTTTGACTTCTGCCAAATATATTTTTATTTAAATTAAAAGCAGCATCTTTGGGAATTATGCTGTATTAAAAAGTACATTCAATAAAATGGTGCAACCGTAATTGTCATTTTGCACAACAATTAAAATAGCATGTTATGAACTACAGCATTTTTTTTTTAAATCAATGTTACATTCCACCACACATTAATAAAATTACACGCCTCTGTTTACCCAAGGCACCAGCACAAATACTTTTACACCAGCACCATTTTGGAATGTTTAGATGTAAATTTTAGTTTGTATTTACACATTTGCACTATTGAATCTAGCAATATGTCATGGCAAAAACTAACACTGCACATAAAATTAACCGACCATTAATTTTACACTCTTGTCTGTAGCCACCTTTAGTACAAGTAAGCTTCACACTCGAACATTTAAAGTATGGCAACAGATCTTAAATTCGTCATCTTTATCAACCTACAATCTTCCACCTACAATCCAACTCTGATATAGGATCCTATCAAAATTTAAACATTTTCCAAGTGTTCATAAAAAGCAAGTTGGAACATTCGACTAATATTTTATTGATCAGTTACAGTGTATATAATATTGTTGGTTCAGATATTTAATATAACCAAGTTATGAAGTGTGTTACTCTTGTATATTACAGTACCACAATAAAATGCACTCATTAAAGTACTTTATTCCCAGCAGATTAGGATACATCTGGGATTAATGGATACAAGAAGTACATTATTAATTTCTAAACATGTTTATTACACAAGCATCATGTACAACTGCCAGGCACTCTCAGCACTTGTGTACGGAAGCAACATGCTTGCAGAAATAAGGCTTATGGAAAACTATAATGACTAATTTGAGAGAGTATTGGATTTGTTCAAACATGAGATCCCAGTTTCCTTTGTGCATATAAACAAAAAATGCACCGTTTTAAGAGATTCTACACTATGATCACAAATTCAATGAGAATCAAGAGGAGGAATAATATTTTCCACCAGACTGGCACTTGGAAAGACATCCCCTTACACTATTATTACATGGCAAATTTTGACATTTATAAGGTCATATAGTAGTATGTTTTAATGCAATGTTCATGAATTATATGAATGAAAAATCTATAAATTTGCAAACTTGAGATGACCACACACACTAGGAAGAGAGTTTCCACTGTTGCACTTGGTAAAAACCACTAACATTCATCTCTCCAAAAGTTGACAATTCCTCCAAAATTTCACAAGTGCTAAAGCGAATATTACACAGTGTACACTCTGCGGGCCCGGTCCTCCCTGGTCCTCCCTGCCCCCACAACACACTTCTGGTTCAACTCAAACCAATTGTATAATTTAAAATTTACTATTTAACTTCAGTACAGGTATCTGAATAAAGCCTTCAACAAAACCTTTGTTATACAATTCTAAAATACACCCAGAAAATTCTCATGACAGATATTCAAACTGCAGGCTTCCTGTCCCTAACAAGACCACTAGCAGCTATTACACACAAAGTATTCAATTAAGAATTAGCTTACGGTAGAGAACTAATGATTCAAGAAGAGGGTCGGCTCCTGCTCGAACCTATGATTAGGAATCGCGTGCAGCCAAGCAATATAAAAATTTCTTTAATAATGCTTAACAGCTAGAATATTTTTATCTATAATGTTACGTACAACTTTTCGGTACACCCGTTTAAAATTTACAAATGCAGGTACATGGTTCCATAGCAATTGACTAAAAACTCCTAGGAATCCAGCTTGCTTTTTCCCCCTTAGACAAGGGCAATTACTATACAATGTTTGTCCTCAAGACAACCGTACAAAAAAGGAATCTTGTGACATATTGGACACGTGCGCTTGCTTGAGCAATCAATGTGCCGTTGATACCTTGTCTAAAAATGGCAGTGGATAACTATACAAGGCACTTCAGACAAAAAATGTTATATTCTTGGGTGATAATTTTGCAACATTTGAACTATATTCATCACCAAATGTTTTGAAGACAATTTAAAACACTAGTAAGTACCAAGTACTGCCATAGAAAATCTTTTCAAATTTCTCTTTAGTGCAGTTTACAGCATATATAAAGAATTGAACTAAAAAATTTTTTTTTAACAATATTGTAACGAGAAACTTAAAATACCTAGATTATGAGAGATTCTCGGATGCTGTTCTGTGCATCACAATCTTGGGGCGTGTCTACGTGTTCGCACAATACTGCTATTGTAGTTGCTCAGCACGTCACAATACTGAACACCATGAAAAACTTAAATTTTCAAAGTAAATAAAAGTAGTCGTGTAAATTATTAAAAATATATATATTTTTTTAATTGGCTATGGGTCTTGTCAATATTTTCAGAAGTACACAAACTCCCAAAGACTGACCACATACCACTGTGCATCATATACTGTATGACACTTTGGGGAGGAAAAGCTACAAAAAAGGATAATTTGGCAGTACCCATGACTGAATTACGATAGTATTGAATTGCAAAGTATATCGAGCATGACAATTTATATTTTTAGTCGCAATAAGACACTAATAGATGTATTACAGTAAGTACATCCTTACTTACTGTAAGGATGTATATAATACAATAGAGCATTTCTAAGTTACACCTGTCTTGTGAAATATTGCCAAGTGAACTTTAATATTTTTAACATAACAGGAACTTTATATGTATAAATTTGAAGTCAATTATTCTTCAGGAAACTCTTCATTCATGCTGATACGAGTAACAAAACATTAAACTAATACATTTGCAAAATTTATGAATGGGTAACCTACTTTTAAAAATTTCAGCATTACAAAAACCAACTAGTTAAAACTCCATGAATAAATAATTGACCTTTGATGATTATTATGATTGGACAGAATGCAACTTTCAGCACTTGTGAAAATTTTCTATCTTCAACGGGTTGTAGAGAATTTCTATCTTCGACGGGTTGCAAAATATCTTAATTCGGATAGTTAACTATTTTGCAAGCTGCTTCTCCAATCACGTGGACCCCTGATACTGATGTACCTAGTCAATCATCTTGAAAAGTATAATTGATAAAAGTAGTCCAAGCACCTGAAAATAATTGTTTTTCTTAGTTTCCAACATTCATGTACTGTACATACGTAAATTAATGATATTAAACACACCAAAGAATAAAAATAAGCCTTGACTATCATGGAACTTTATCAAGATGGAGGTTTTAAAGTGTCAAATTCCTTTGTAGTTCTTTCATCAATTATAATGCAGTGGTGGTACTGTATCTTGTAGCGCTACCGTGTGGTGGTGGTGGTTCAGTACCTTGTAGCGCTACCGTGTGGCAGTGGTGGTACTGTACCTTGTAGCGCTACAGTATGGCGGCGGTGGTGGTACTGTACCTTGTAGCGCTACAGTGGCGGCGGTGGTACTGTACCTTGTAGCGCTACAGTGTGGCGGCGGTGGTACTGTACCTTGTAGCGCTACAGTGTGGCGGCGGTGGTACTGTACCTTGTAGCGCTACAATGTGGTGGTGGTACTGTACCTTGTAACGCTACTGTGTGGAATGGGTGATGGCACAGGTTCAGTTCTTGCACTGGTAATGCTCATTGTCTACATAAATGATCTACCAGTTTGAATACAGAATTATATGAACATGTTTGCTGATGATGCAAAGATAATAGGGAAGATAAGAAACCTAGGCAATTGTCATGTCCTTGAAGAACTGGACAAAATAAGTATATGGAGGACCATTTGGCAAATGGAATTTAATGTGAATAAATGTCATGTTATGGAATGTAGAATTGGAGAACAGACCCCACACAACCTATAAATCATGCGAGAAATCTTTTAAAGAATTGTGACAAAAAGTATGGTGCCCATATCTTAAGAAGCACATCAACAAACTGGAAAAGGTGCAAAGACATACCTCTAAGTGGCTCCCAGAACTGAAGGGCCAGAGCTATGAGTAGAGGTTAGAGGCATTAAACATGCCAAAATTAGAAGACAGAAGAAAAAGAGGCAATATAAACACTACGTACAAAATAGTAACAGGAATTTATAAAATTGATAGGGAAGATTTCCCGAGACCTGGAACTTCAAGAACAAGAGGTCATAGATTTAAACTAACCAAAGATGCCAAAGAAATACGAAAATTCACTTTTGCAAACAGAGTGGTAGACGGTTGGAACAAGTTAGGTGAGAAGGTGGAGGAGGCCAAAACCATCAGTAGCTTCAAAGCGTTATATGACAAAGAGTACTGGGTAGACAAGCACACGAGCATAGCTCATCCTGTAGGTAATTACACAAGTAATTACACAATTACACACACACACACAACAAAAAGGTGACACCCCTAGGGTCAACACTTGCAGCAGAGGAGCTCCAGCATATTTCAACAATCCTAAGTATTGTAGTACAGGTTGATGGTAGTGAGTGGTGTCCCAGAGAACATAAAGGTATAGTGCTCTTGAAAAATAGGTGAGATAACAGGAAAGTGCTAAAGGAAGTGAAGAATCGGATGAGAAAAAGTTGCCCTAGTGTTTACAGTGCAGAGAAGAACATTCAAGATGGCCACTGGCAAGGGGAAAAACAAAACAGAGCTTGATTTTGAGGGATTCAATGAAGAAAGCATTGATATTAGTAGTCTACATAACAAGTTGGTAAATTTAGATACTATAGTGAACTCTCATGTAGAAATAATTAGTAAATTGAAACAAAGTAATGACCATTTGAATAGCAAAGTTTTATGTCTTGAGGGTTTAGTGAAAGACTTGCGCAAGGATAAGAATCAATTGGAAACAAATTGCAAAGCCATGGAAGAAGAAAATAAACTCTTAAAAATAGCTTTGGAAGAAGTTAAAGTAAATTTAAACATAAATGACTACAATAGGTTAGGCAAGGAAATTCAACAGGAGAAACAGCTTTTGTCAGCACAGATGGAGGAAGTTACACAGGGAATAGAACAGTGCAAGAAAGATATGCAACTCACTTATGCACAAGTGGCCAAGGAGAAGGAAAAAATAGAAGAAGCAGTAAAGGAAGTCAAACACTGCAGCAACCAAGATAAAACAAACATTAGGCTAGAAGTGAGGAAAGAATTGGCATCTAACCCGAAGTTGGTGCAAAACACAGTTGATCGGAGTAAGTCCCTGATCATTTTTGGCTGCAAAGAAAAGGCGATAACATCTAGGTCAGAAAGAGCTGTAGAAGAAGCTAAAGTAGTAGATAAAATTGTTGGCCTCGTGGAAGGTCTTACAACCATAGAGAATGTGTGCGACTACAGGAGAATAGGCAGGTACGTAAAAGGGAAAGATCGACCTTTGAGGATCACCCTAAACGGTGCCAAACAGATGGAAGAAGTACTAAGGAATGCTAGAAAATTGCAAAGTGATGAGGATGGGAAAGGGTGGTCGTTAAGACGAGATCTTTCAAAAGAAGATAGAGAGAAGCTGAAACTGAACCTCGCCGAGGCAAAACATTTAAATGAGAGCAGGAATGAAGAAGAAATAAATTCTTTTTTCTACAAAGTGATAGGGGTAGGCAAACCAGTAAAGTGGTACATAAAGGCAAACCAACAAAATCAATAGAGAGAGGGGGAGTGAAGAATAAGGAGAGGGGGAACAAGTTCCTGAAGATTGCATACACCAACATAGATCGAAGATACTGGAGTTAAGTGATGTAATACAGCTGCAGACACCAGACATTGTTGAACTCGTGGAGACAAAACTTGAAGATGTAATTTTAAATGAGGTCATATTCCCAAGGGGCTACTCAATTTGGAGACGGGACAGAAAAATTAGGAAAGGCGGTGGCGTTGCTGTGCTGGTAAAAGAACACCTAAAGGTGAACGAAATAATGACTGCCAATCCACAAGAAGTTGACATAATAACACTAGAGATCTGCCATGAGGATGATAAACTAATGGTAATAAATGCATATAGTCCACCGCCAAGCAGTACATGGTCAAAGGAGGAGCTAGATAGTAAACGTGAAGGTCTTATAACAATAATGAGAGAGATTATAGCGAGAGCGGATAATGATAGATCACGACTGTTGATAGTCGGTGACTTCAACTTTAAATCCATAGACTGGGAAGCATATGAAGCTAAAACAGAAGATTTTTGGACCTGTAAATTTGTAGACCTCATCCTGGAAACATTCTTGTATCAACATGTTAAACAAGCTACGAGGATGAGGGAAGGGGACGTTCCCTCCATGCTAGATTTGATATTTACCAGGAAGGAGGAAGAGATATTTGACATTCAGTACCTACCTTCCTCCCTTGGGTAAAAGTGACCATGTCTTTTTGGGAATAAAGTATGCAATGCGTTATAAGCTGGAAGAAAATAAGGAGGTTGAAGCAGTTCAAAAAACAGACTTCAGGAGAGGACATTATGGTGACCTTAGAAATTTTTTTAGTGAGTATAATTGGACAGACTTGATGCTAGGCAAGGAAGTGAATGAGATGTATGTCAAGTTTTGTGAAATATATGATAAAGGCCAAAAAAATTTATACCAAAACAGAGATGCAGAGCTAGGAAACAGGATTGGTTCAATAGAAATTGCGAGAGGGCTAGAGACCAAAAGACACAAAAATGGAATCAATACAGGAAGAGGCCGAACCCCCAAACATACCAGAGATACAAAGATGTGAGAAACAACTGCACGGCAGTGAGGAGAGAGGCAGAAAGAAATTTTGAAAAAGGGATTGCAGACAAATGTAAAACAGAACCAGGTCTATTCTATAAATTCATAAACAACAAATTGCAGGTAAAGGATAATATTCAGAGGTTGAAAATGGGAAATAGATTCACGGAAGATGAAAAGGAAATGTGGGTGACTAGAGACGAAGTGGAAAAAATGCTTAAGGAGCTCGGTAAGAACAAAGCAGCTGGCCCCGATGGCGTTTCACCATGGGTTCTGAGAGAATGTGCATCTGAGCTCAGCATTCCACTTCACCTGATCTTTCAGGCATCCCTGTGTACAGGAATCGTAGCAGACGTGTGGAAGCAGGCTAACGTAGTTCCAATCTACAAAAGTGGCAGCAGGGAAGACCCCCTCAATTATAGACCTGTATCATTGACAAGTGTAATAGTGAAAGTATTGGAAAAACTAATCAAAACTAAATGGGTAGAACACCTAGAGAGAAATGATATAATATCAGACAGACAGTATGGTTTTCGATCTGGAAGATCCTGTGTATCGAATTTACTCAGTTTCTATGATCGAGCCACAGAGATATTACAGGAAAGAGATGGTTGGGTTGACTGCATCTATCTGGACCTAAAAAAGGCTTTCGACAGAGTTCCACATAAGAGGTTGTTCTGGAAACTGGAAAATATTGGAGGGGTGACAGGTAAGCTTCTATCATGGATGAAAAATTTTCTGACTGATAGAAAAATGAGGGCAGTAATCAGAGGCAATGTATCGGAATGGAGAAATGTCACAAGTGGAGTACCACAGGGTTCAGTTCTTGCACCAGTGATGTTTATTGTGTACATAAATGATCTACCAGTTGGTATACAGAATTATATGAACATGTTTGCTGATGATGCTAAGATAATAGGAAGGATAAGAAATTTAGATGATTGTCATGCCCTTCAAGAAGACCTGGACAAAATAAGTATATGGAGCACCACCTGGCAAATGGAATTTAATGTTAATAAATGTCATGTGATGGAATGTGGAACAGGAGAACATAGACCCCATACAACCTATATATTATGTGAGAAATCTTTAAAGAATTCTGATAAAGAAAGAGATCTAGGGGTGGTTCTAGATAGAAAACTATCACCTGAGGACCACAAAGAATATTGTGCAAGGAGCCTATGCAATGCTTTCTAACTTCAGAATTGCATTTAAATACATGGATGGCGATATACTAAAGAAATTGTTCATGACTTTTGTTAGGCCAAAGCTAGAATATGCAGTTGTTGTGTGGTGCCCATATCTTAAGAAGCACATCAACAAACTGGAAAAGGTGCAAAGACATGCTACAAAGTGGCTCCCAGAACTGAAGGGCAAGAGCTACGAGGAGAGGTTGGAAGCATTAAACATGCCAAAACTAGAAGACAGAAGAAAAAGAGGTGATATGATCACTACATACAAAATAGTAACAGGAATTGATAAAATCGACAGGGAAGATTTCCTGAGACCTGGAACTTCAAGAACAAGAGGTCATAGATTTAAACTAGCTAAACACAGATGCCGAAGAAATATAAGAAAATTCACCTTCGCAAATAGAGTGGTAGACGGTTGGAACAAGTTAAGTGAGAAGGTGGTGGAGGCCAAGACCGTCAGTAGTTTCAAAGCGTTATATGACAAAGAGTGCTGGGAAGACGGGACACCACGAGCGTAGCTCTCATCCTGTAACTACACTTAGGTAATTACACTTAGGTAATTACACACACACACAGGCTGCGGGACATGCAACTCATGACGCGACAAGAGTAAAGGGAGACATGATCACTACCTACAAAATTCTCGGAGGAATTGACAGGATAAAGAAACTAACGCGGGTAGTACGCGAACAATGGGACACAGGTGGAAACCGAGTTCCCAAATGAGCCACAGGGACATTAGAAAACTTTCAGTGTCAGTATTTGACAGGTTGAATGCCTTAGTGATGTGGTGGAGGCAGACTCTGTTGTGAGAGTCTCTCTCAAGATTCTCCCACAGCTGACTGGAATGGCTCATTGCTGTGCACAGTGCACCGATCTTCTGCACAAGGTCCTATTTCTGTTAACCCTGGATAGTGACCTGGCATGTTGGGCATCTCCAGAATGCCCACTTAAGCAGAACACTTTTATAATACGGAGGCCGCTGTATGTCCAGGCAGGAAGTAGATACAGGGAGTTAAGCATACTTGCCACCAAAGGGGTCAGTGAGAACATCGGTGGTGGAGCGTGGGAGAGGGGAGACGCTAGCAGCGTCTGACCTCTGGGGTCAACCGGCGCGATGGACAATAACAGCTATGACGTGTTCGTGACTTCACCTCTCCTACTGCTCATCGAACGAGCTAATATGATTGGTTCCCGCTCATTTGCTGCAATGCCATTGGTCAAATTTTAATCCCCTTGTGTGTGCCACGAGATGCCCGGCAGCACTTGTAAACCATTCTTGTGAGGTGTATCTAGCAAAGTGGACGTGTTCTGTTCAGTCTACCGGCCAATAGACTGAACACCATCTATTCCTCACCGTCAAGTTAACTCGGCATCTGAAGATTATACGACACACTCGCCCAGAATCACGGGTTGTGAATATATTATTCAGAAGCCTAAAGTGACAAATCTCCAGAGCAAAACAGACTGGTATCAGGTAACCCCTGGTGACAAAGATCGTTGTGAGTGACTTAGAGTAAACTAAGGCAGTGCCGCCGCCTAAGTAACCTGTGTGTGACTTTACCACAAGTGTACCTGCATGGTACCACAGCCGCCACTCGTCCCGAGCGTGTACCCAAGTACCCTAGTACCTCTGTACCTCGAGCGCCTGCCGCCACCCTCACTACTACGTGACGTCACCACCTTATTCGCCGCCAGTGCCAGTGTGCGCGCGTGTGTCTGTGTGTTAAGCATACAGCCCGCCCTACTGCAAGTACCCTCCGTGTCTACGAGCGAAACCAGCCGTCCGGCCACCTACGAGTGCTTGTATAAATGTGCCTGAGTGAGTGAGTGAGTAAGGAAAGGTACCCATCTGTAAGTACAGAGATCTTGTCATTATTTTATTGTGTGTGTTGATCTGAGGGATCAACCACAGTTCTCACCTTCTCATACCCGTCACAGGTTATAGGTGAATTGACGGTGAATGCGTGTTTATCTGTGTGGTATCACTGCATTTCACTAGTCTGTGAATGTGAGCTTCACATACACCACACATTTAGTTATTGTGTGATATTATTGTGCATGTTATTGCCTGTCCCATTGACAGTGTAGTTGTTGATTTATTGCATATCATCATTACCGAGTATCCGGTTGGAACTCTTGTGATCCCTTTGTATACCGGCAGTTAGGTTGCCGTGTTAATGATTGGCTGTCAACTGTGTTAAGTTAGGTGTTTCTCCACGAGTGGATACGAGTCGTTTAGCCAGACGTCAAGAGTCTTGCTAATACAACCATAGCTTTGCTGACGCCAATCTAAAGTAAATCAAGCACCCTGTGTATTAGTGGTTAAGTTAGTAAATAAACTACTGTTGAGCTTTATGCGGTGTTTCTGTTGAACCACTTCTGAATATTGCAAATATTACTCAAGCCTTCAGCTCTGTGTGTCTTCAACACCAAGTTGCCTATAAATCACAAACTATAAATGTGATGAGGACCCTAGGAGTCCCTTACAGTGTTAAATCATTGAGGAGATTCCAACGATCAACGTGGAGCAGGACCAGGCGAGACTAGTCTGAGAAGAGACCCTCAAGGACTAACTCGACCTTGCTCCCAGGCCCTGTACGGTTGCTCTCGTATTTTCTATTCTGCTAATTCCGACAGCTTCGTGAAGCTTCTGCCACATGTACATTGGCGACGTACGCATTGCAGTCGTGAAAGCAAAAAAACACCCCACATCCATACACAGTTTCAAATGTAGATATGACGAGTCTATATATGATCTATGTAGTCTAGTATGCTCAAGAATCTGTACACCAGTTGATTGACAGTCGAGAGGCAGGACCAAAGAGCCAGAGCTCAAACCCCGCAAGCACAACTAGGCGAGTACACCACACATTCTTGTGTGCTATCTATATGTACGAGATCTTGTTTCCAAATGCTAATCTTTATCTGAAACTTATCCTTGATAGGTGTAATAGGACCCATGATCACACCAGAAATAAGTCTGATATTCCCGAAGTCGAACTAAATCTGTGCAAACACTTCATACAAATCAAAGGGACCAGTCCTTGGAACTCGCTCCCTGATGAATTAAAATATTGTCCAACCTATGCCCTGTTCAAAAGTAAAAACCAAAAAAGTACCTAATTTCATCCTCATTATCTTTTAGTAACCACTTCTCAATATTAGTACTTAAGACATATATCTTTACCAGTGTAATCATCTATCTTATGAACTTCAACTTGTATTGTAGTTATATGTTGATATAAAACCTTGCTACAATGTACCTTTTCATCTTGCCTGATATGTTAGATTAAGGACCAGCTGCCTGTAACGCTATGCGTGTTAGTGGATTTGGCATGAATAAAAATACCAATCTTAAGTAATCTCTCAAACCCATTGTACCATGTAAATTATTATTATTGCCATTATTTTTTAACATCAATCACAACACCACCCTCGTGTAGTGACCCTGGCAGTGTTACCATGGACAACAACACCCTCGTGTAGTGACCCTGGCAGTGTTACCATGGACAACACCACCACCCTCGTGTAGTGACCCTGGCAGTGTTACCATGGACAACACCACCACCCTCGTGTAGTGACCCTGGCAGTGTTACCATGGACAACACCACCACCCTCGTGTAGTGACCCTGGCAGTGTTACCATGGACACCACCACCCTCGTGTAGTGACCCTGGCAGTGTTACCATGGACACCACCACCCTCGTGTAGTGACCCTGGCAGTGTTACCACGGACAACACCACCCTCGTGTAGTGACCCTGGCAGTGTTACCATGGACACCACCACCCTCGTGTAGTGACCCTGGCAGTGTTACCACGGACAACAACACCACCCTTGTGTAGTGACCCTGGCAGTGTTACCATGGACAACACCACCACCCTCGTGTAGTGACCCTGGCAGTGTTACCATGGACAACACCACCCTCGTGTAGTGACCCTGGCAGTGTTACCACGGACAACAACACCCTCGTGTAGTGACCCTGGCAGTGTTACCATGGACAACACCACCACCCTCGTGTAGTGACCCTGGCAGTGTTACCATGGACAACACCACCACCCTTGTGTAGTGACCCTGGCAGTGTTACCATGGACAACACCACCACCCTCGTGTAGTGACCCTGGCAGTGTTACCATGGACAACACCACACCCTCGTGTAGTGACCCTGGCAGTGTTACCACGGACAACAACACCCTCGTGTAGTGACCCTGGCAGTGTTACCATGGACAACACCACCACCCTCGTGTAGTGACCCTGGCAGTGTTACCACGGACAACAACACCCTCGTGTAGTGACCCTGGCAGTGTTACCATGGACAACACCACACCCTCGTGTAGTGACCCTGGCAGTGTTACCATGGACAACACCACACCCTCGTGTAGTGACCCTGGCAGTGTTACCATGGACAACACCACCACCCTCGTGTAGTGACCCTGGCAGTGTTACCACGGACAACAACACCCTCGTGTAGTGACCCTGGCAGTGTTACCATGGACAACACCACCCTCGTGTAGTGACCCTGGCAGTGTTACCACGGACAACAACACCCTCGTGTAGTGACCCTGGCAGTGTTACCATGGACAACACCACCACCCTCGTGTAGTGACCCTGGCAGTGTTACCATGGACAACACCACCACCCTCGTGTAGTGACCCTGGCAGTGTTACCATGGACACCACCACCCTCGTGTAGTGACCCTGGCAGTGTTACCACGGACAACACCACCCTCGTGTAGGTTCCCTGACAGTGTTACCATGGACAACAACACCACACCCTCGTGTAGTGACCCTGGCAGTGTTGCCATGGACTGAGCAACAACTATCATACACATTTGTGTTTAATCTGATGTAATTAAATTGCAAAATATTTTTTCATTGGTGTCAGTTTTAATGTAATTCAAGCAACATTGTAAATTTACATAGTGTACATATTATTGTATTTCAAAAAATAAATTAATAAGAATATCCAAATAGTTGTCAAAGTCTAATTTAAACTATTTTATATTAAAGTAAGGAAACTATACGGAGCGATACATACCATGATGACTGCGACGGCAATACCAACACCGCCAACTATGAGTGCATGGCGCTCCACGAAATCTATAGCCTTGGAGAAGCAACCTTCCGTGTAGGAATTATCCTCTCCGGGGTTTCTCTGGCAGTCCATCAACTGAAAATTTGGGTTATTAGTTCTGGCATTTATATAAATTTTTCTGCAAGTTAATAGCTAATTATTTTTATGTTACCAATGGTAACATTATAAAATTTATGCACTACATTCCCTTTTATCAATTCTAGCATATGGTTTATTTTTGTAAGACATTCAAGGAAGGAACTACTTCAATACAAACCTAACTCAAATACTATATATTCTTACAAACACAAATGCCCCAATATTCCGTGTTTACCCGAGGACCACTAACACCAGTGGCCTCCATCGTGACAGGAAGCGGGCGACTTACCCGTCCTTTACTTCCTTACTCACAGTATACATACGTTACTTTAATCCAGGGACGTAGATACAATATGCATTTATAAACACTTCAACCCCAAGAGTAATCCCATGGGAGTGGTACCATATTTTTTTTATTTGGCGATACTCGACAATCAGTGTGCATGCATTACATTTATTAAAACGTAGGAAGTGGGATAATACACTAAAGATGAATAATTTCTCTAACCAGATTAACGACAGTGTTCCAGTCATTCTGATTCAATGGAGCTCAACCTCACACAGTGAGGTGGGCACCTCAAGAGCTCTCACGCACTCCCCGATCTCCAGCTCCCACTCTTTTTGTTTGTTTTTTTTCTTTTTCCCTGCTGACCCTTACCTCTGCAGTCCCTCCTGCCACAGAACCTTATCTTCTCAGAAATTCAAGTACCAGCAGACTGCACCCATAACATGGAGTCACTGGAACAGTGCCTGTGCCATGTCCTAGAGGACACGCTCCTGTGTTTTGACAAAGGCTACTGCCAGATTAAAGGAACAACTGGTGCGAGTGTTGTAACTGCGGAGGACTTCATGTACACGGCCTTTGAGGTGTAACCCAGGATGTATACCCTAGCCCCACTCATCTACTTCAGATATATTGACAACATTTTTGGATTAATGGCAGGCAGGGAGGTAGGTCAAGCAATTTCTCACGTGGGCTAATGGTGTCCATGCAGATACAGGTTTTATGGTGAAATCTAGCTTTAAGGAACTACCCTTCCTCGACACTCTGTGAATACCAGGACGGAGAAAGACTCCAGACTAGTGTGTTCTACAAGGATTCTAACCTGCATTCTTATATCTCATATACTTCCTGTCACCTAACATCCTTAGATACATGTCTCCCTTAATTCATTAGGCATCCGAATAAAGCAGATAAGTGTTACCAGCGAACTCCAAAAGGATTTGGATATACTTTTGGTCATTTTTCAGAGAAAGAATACCCAGAGAGGATCCTACAGGAAGTGCCAGAAAACACACTTGATCCTACAGAGGCAGATCCTTCCAAGCACTGGATGACTGCAGATTCCCCTCTCCAGGATGGTGCTTCCTTTTATGTATATTCCTACAGCATCAAGAACCTACAGGGAGGAGATAAACTTTGGTAGTGGCTGGATGGCACCTTTAAGGAACATCCAGCGGCACAACATTTCCCAGGTTACCAGAGGTAAAGTCCGAAGGGAAAAGGGAAGCCTCCTTGTAGGATATGCTAGTAATGGCATGTTTCCCTACTTACCCACAGTGGAAAAGGGGAGACAATGAATAAGAACTAAATCTATTACAACCTAGTGCAAATTAGAGTGTCTCCTTGGTTTTGACAAACATGTGGTTACTGGAGCTTCTAACAATGAGGAAATTCCATCTCCAAGGATACCACCCAAACACTAAGAAAAGACAACAAAGAGAGCAGACGGGGTGATGCTGTATCTGAAAGAGGACCTGGATGCTACCAGCAATAAGGAACTGAACACCATGGGGATCTTCAGTCCATGTTGCAACATCCTAGCTCAAGATGGTAGCAAAATGACAGTGGGCGTGTGCTACAGGGCTGACAACAGCAGCAGAGGAGGATGTTGCTCTGCATAATGTGATCAATGCAGCATCAGAAACCCAAACCCTAATAATGATGGACCTTAACCATGAGACCACAGATTGGGTAAATTTAACATCACAAGCAGAAGAACAATTTCTAGACCTAATACAGGACTCCTCTCGTACAGCATGTGGTTGAGCCCACACGAGGTAATGGCATTCTAGATTTTATGCTATTAGAAGATGGCATGATCGATCAAATTCGGGTAGGGGAAAGTTAACCCCTTCATGTGATCACCATATTTTATGATGGATTATAAATATTGTAACCTACATAAAGATCCATGATCATGAATTTCTAAATTACCATCGAGGAGACTATCGAGGAATGAGAGGAACTGTAAAACATCTGGAGGGAGCCGATAGGTGAACATGGTATGGAAGCATCATGGCAAAATTTCAAGATCAATGAGCTCTTGTATAAATGTGCACCAAAAAGGAGGAAGAAAAAGGGAATTACTGTAAGTAGATGACAGATAGCAAAACGAGCATTGATAACTAAGCGGAACCTCTGGAAAACGTATAAATCCACGACGAACATCACGGATTATAAGATATATAAAAGGGCACTAAACTCTGCCACCCAGGAAATCAGATCAGTCAAAAGAAATTACGAAAACTTACCCAAAACAAACATCCAAAATCATTCTATGCCTGTACATTACAAGTAAAACCAAAAAGGATCCATAGGTTCCTTAAAAGACAAGACTAACCAAGTTATAAGTGACGATAAAGGGGAAGCAAACATTAAATTAATATTTTACATCAGTATTCCTACTAGAAACATTAGACGATATACCATCCCCTACACGTCAAGGAGACGAAGAGGATACTGTATACCCATAACATGCAACACAATCAAGAAGAGCATTGAGTGATTCAAAAAGCCCCAGATATGGATGGAATCCAACCTGAAGTCATTTATGAACTGGCAAAAGAACTATGCCTACAGCTGAAACAACTTTTCACAATCAGATTTTAAACAGAAATGGTAACCACTACTACAAGTAGCAATATTACTGTGCAATAGGTATAACTATTGCACAGTATTACTGTACAAATCTAGAGTTTAAAATTAAAACTTTGTGGTATATATAGTCAGCTACTTAGACAAAGGACTTCTGGTTGTAGTAGTATACATGGATTTTGCTAAAGCCTTTGATAAGGTACCACATGAAAGACTGGCAAGGAAATTACAGGCCCCTGGAATTAATGGTAGAATACTAGAATGATTAAAAAAATGGTTAAAACGAGGAAAAAGTCATGCTAAATAGGAATGAATTGACTGGAGAAATGTGTTAAGTGGAGTACCACAGGGGTCCACATTTTGCGGCCAATCCATTTTGTTATGAATCAAGGGCATGGGCGAGTATTACAAACCACATCAAATTTGCAGATGACAATATTTATGGTAAAGTTGGAAATAAAAATGATTTTGAAGCCTTACAAAAAGATCTACATGATCTACACAAATGGTCAGAAGACTGGCAAATGCTTCTTAATTAATATCAACAAATGCAAGACCTTGCATGTAGGGCATAGCAACCAACGCCACAACTGCCAAATTAGTAACATTACACTATAGCAGATTGATGAAAAGAATCCGAGTAAAAATCCACCATTCACCGAGTTGCTCGACAGGTAGGAGCAGTCAAAAAAAGCTAACCAAATCTCTAGAATAATGAAGCATACCTTTGACTAAGGAAAAGAAGGCAGCAATTCAATTGTTTAAATCTATGGTGCACCCCATTTGAACTTTTGAATTTGATTTATTTATTTTATTTATATATACAGGAGTTTTTACATTCCTGTACAGCCACTAGCATGTATAGCATTTCATGCAAGTCTTTAATTTAATCCTAATTTTCCCCAGAAAGTGAATCGCCAAATCATTTAACAGCCAGGTACCCATTCATTGCTGGGTGAAGAGGCTACAGTTAAGGATTGGCAACCAGTCGTATCCTGGGTTCGGCCAGGATACGAACCCAGGCCAAAGTGCTTGTGAAGCACCGGGCGAGTTTTACTACTGCACCACAGGGACTGTGCCACTGTATACCTACTTAAAATGCAGAACAGTTTGGATGATGATCTGGACAATTTCCTCAAGACATCACATGTAACAAACAAGGAGCAACGGTTTCAAGCTTAACAGGAGATTTTTCACCCACAGGGTTATAAACCCATAAAACCACCTACCTGCCAAAGCCATAAATGCCAATACCCAAATTTTAAAGTCCAACTGGAAGAGATCAAGGAACATGGGGGAGGTTATCTTGAGATGATTTCGGGGCTTTAGTGTCCCCATGGCCCGGTCCTCGACCAGGCCTCCACCCCCAGGAAGCAGCCCGTGACAGCTGACTAACTCCCAGGTACCTATTTACTGCTAGGTAACAGGGGCATTCAGGGTGAAAGAAACTTTGCCCATTTGTATCTGCCTCGTGCGGGAATCGAACCCGCGCCACAGAATTACAAGTCCTGCGCGCTATCCACCAGGCTACGAGGCCCCTCCACCAGGCTACGAGGCCTACGAGAGGGGGAGGGTTCTTTGATAAGCCGCTGGTGTCCTGTCTTTGTCAAGGCCACTAGTGTTAGCTGCCCTTTGGTAAATTCAGATGAAAATGGCTTAGGCTTGGAGGTCCCTCCAGGTTCGAATTACTGACCCTTCCCTAGATGCAACTCTACAAGAAGCCAACTCTTGGGTACCTACTTACTGCTAGGTGAACAGGTGCATTAGGTGGCAGGGAAATGTGCCCAACCATTTCAGTTCTGCCCAGGATTCTCAATTGAGTCAACGGACCAGACTGTACTACAGAGACCCATTAAATATAAGCCGAGGCTTATGCTGTACTCCGCTTAACACATTCTTGACATTTCAAATATAGTAATACTGCACCATGTTATCATAATGACCATTTTGTTTAAAACATTTTTATAAAAACTTAAACTTGTAGAAAACTTAAGTATTTACCACTAAAGCTATAGAATTTGAAATTACCTTGTTATAATAAATATCAATTGTGTAACATTAAATCTTTACATTTATTGAAGTAAATTTAACTCTTCATATTAAACAGTAACCTAAAATGTAATAAACTAAGGTTAAGATTCAGCCCAAATGCCAAGCAGCATATACAGTGTAACCTTCGGACCTTTGACAAGCCACCAGCTCCTCGTAGTCGTGGCCACTAGTATTAGTGGACCTCAAGTAAATTCAAGGAAATAATAATGGTAAGAGGAATGTTATAACACTCACCTCTCCCGCGGTCCCGTCCTTTCTGCAGCACGACTTTGGGACTTTTTTATCCGACATTGAAAACTCTGGATTTTTTGCCCATTCATTTTGATTTGTTATGGCACAGCATTTCAT